TTTTTTTTTTTTTTTTTTTTTTTTTTTTTTTTTTTTTTTTTTTTGCATGTACAAACCTACTTTTAGTTGCAAGAATCATTATTATTATTTAATTATATTATAAGGATTCATTGTAAAATTTTGTTTGACAAGAATGGTAAGAGCATCATTATCAGGTGCGTTTCCAGGATTATTTTAGGGGGGTCTAGTTCTTTTGAAGAATGAATGACATCGGATGCGAAGTCTACCCTTGCTCCCTTGGTGTGGGGTTCGGTGTTTTTCGAAGGGCAAACGGTGCCATTTGGTGCCGTTTAGGATAATGATTTAGCCCTTCAAAATTCTTATATCAAGAGAGGAATATTGGTGTAATTTTATCCAGAAACCGAGGGGGGGGGAGCAGGTCAGAATTCAGCAATACGTGAAAAACACTCTTCTAGGTTTAGAAGGTACAGCGGTGTAAAAAAAAACTACCCTTTGTGCCCTCTTATATCACCTGCATGTTTCAAGCATACTTTAAAGTTAAAGCTTCCTGGCAGGCAAAGTAATCAATTTCAACACGGAGTTTGTTCGCTACACAAAGAAAGGGTGTTTTCTCGTATTGCTAAAAAACTGGCAATTGTGATGCTCTTTCCAGTCTTGTTTACATTACCAAAAGATGTCTTAGTCTCCTTCTGAGTACTGAATGTAATACAATGGATGAATTAGAACATATTTGATTAGTGGTATTTGTTATACAATAGTCTTTTGAAAAGAATGTCAGGTCACTTGGAACAAAGTTTAATCGCTATTACTTTGTACAGGCGACATCCGTCCTATATACTGACCCCGATACATTGTATTAACCCAAACCTACTCTGCTTGTTTTCATATGGGACTCTGGAATTCCATTCTTAGTACTTTTTAACGGAAAGCTAAAAACATCACTTGCTAATCTTTAAATAACAGCACACAAGCATACATAACTTAAAACCTTGTATTAGTATTTATATATTTAATGTACTTTTTTGTTAGCATTAGGAAAACTATGAACGACAACAGATCACTTCGCCTATTTGCAACAAACTAATACGTACACTACAGCCAAGCAAACACAGAACGTTACCATGACGTCTATATAACCAAAAACGTTATGGTAACGTTCTGGTAACATAATGATAACGTTATGGTAACGTTCTGGTAACGTAATGATAACGTTGTAGTAATGTTTTAAAACGTTCTGTGTTTGCTGGGAGTAGCATAAGGCCAGACGGCGTGCATTCAAACCATAAACATTGCCTATCTGACTGAATAAGGGAAACAAATCTAAAACCGTGTTATACAAGGTTGCATGTATTTTCGCTCAAATTTTGTGGGTTAAACTTATCAATTCTGCAATTAAGGGCCAGCCTGTGTTGGCCAAACAGTTGCTGCCAGCAGGGTTACATGTACTTTATTTTATCGTAACTGTCGGATTTGTTCAGCACTGGCTGGCGTGACTAAAGGTTAATGATGACACGACCCACTGTTATTATAAAGGCAAGAAAATTAGCTAGGTTGCCATTGTCGGGTTTCTGTTTACAACCTTAGATTTTCTTCAGTCGCGAAATGATATATGATCGATGAAGATGGACGGGCCATTAAATACTTTATTAATGGAAAGGACATGTATATATTTACACTATACACGTCTAATGAGGCAAGGATAACTGAATCAGTGATCACGCTGTAAAGGAAATGGACATTAACGGTAGATTGTTGTAGACATAGCGAGCTAATTTGCTCAGTAAACCCACCCATTAAGATATTGAATTTGCGCTGAGACGACTTTGTTAAAAAGTGACGGATGCCGTTAGGTTTTACCTTAATAAGATTGTGCATAACAACTAAATTATATTTTCCAAAATGGTAAGTACAATGCATTAATTTGCCTTCCAATTGTTTGATAAAGTGTCTGAAACAATTGCCGCTCAAAAGACTTTTCCTACGGTATGGGGTTTCTCTTACACTTGGCGGTTATCTTAACTCGGCATGCTTAGCTTCACATGTCACTGGATGATGAACGCTTTGGTGGAATTATCAACCATTTCTCGGAAATATAAACAGAAGCAACAGTTGGAAGCGGAGATATAGGGGGTGGGAACCACCTCTGGGGACATTTGTCTTATTAACGTTCACTTACGGTTCTCAATCTATTCTAGAACATTTGGTTTTTATTTTTTTACAGTTCTTACGTTGTTCTGTAATGAATGTAACAGTTCGAAAACTGTTTTTGGGAAGTATTTCAGAATGCCTAGAACAGAATAAAAACATTTTTCGTTAAAAGAGAAAAGTATGTTCTAGGGCAGATTGAGAAGTCTGAGAACCGTAAGTGAGCGTCAAATGAGACACATTTTCGAAGGGGTAGTCTAGGGAACAGTTGTGTCAGAAACGCTCACGTGCCTCAATTCACAGCAAACGTATTATGTTGTCATTAAGAAGTCGAGTTTGTTTATCACTTGTGGACACTAATTAGTCGTGTACATTGGGTTCTTAAGAACCAATCACTTTAGGTCGGAAGGTTTCATGTTTGGTGAGTGATGCATCATGTAATGAGGTTTGCCTTAATTCCAAAATATTGTTGTGGATTCTAAAGTTAAAAGGTTTCTATTGTTCCCAAGCAGGCCTAGTTGTAGTAAACATATGTTCTATATTTTCTAATGCCTCAGGTAAGTGAAACCCGCAGGCACAACAAGAAAACAATAATTTAGATGAACTGAATAAATTTAATTGTTTGACTTATCATATAAATCTCATCTACGATTCGATATTGGATAATCTATTGAACCACCCGCTCTTGAAATGTTACCCTGTGCAATTTATTTATGATTAGGGAACAAAATCACGCCATAATTCCTCTAATTAGCCATATAATTCGAGAAGTAAATGCGCATTAAAAAAACTTTATAAGCATGTCTTACAATAGAAAATAAAATGAAAAGTAAATTGCTATTCTAAGGCACGAGTCCTTCATTCTGAACTAAATTATAATTCATCTGAGATTTCATGTACATGTACATGTTTACTGTGTTTCGCAGCTCCAGGTTTATCTTCACCATACTGTCTCTATATGAACCGTCGTCTATTCTCACGAATTCACGGCGCTTTCTGGTGACAATCTTCCTCTCATTCTGAAGGTAACAATTTGCCTTTGTTCAGTTGCAGCAAAAAACCGTAAGAACAATTGACGTGGCCTCTGCATAGGTACACCACCAGTTTGGGCATAACTCTGTATAGTCTAGTAACACTGGACCGGTCGTTCTTTGTGACACAGTAAGACCCCATTCCCATACCTAGATCGATCTAGCGGGATCGGTCCATCTCCGAAGGAATTCCCGCTAAATTGCTTTCAGCTTGAGCGACTTAGAAGTCTGACACGCATACTGAAGCTGCTAAGAGATAGTTAATTACCCCCTAACAGCTTCAGAAGGCGTGCGAGAGCTTCAGAAGGCGAGCCGCTTAAGCTGAAAGCAATTTAGCGAGAATCCCCTCGGAGATGGACCGATCTAGGTAGAACGATCTAGGTATGGGCACGGGGTCTAATTCTGTCTGGCAATATCTGTTTGCCTCATGACAGTCTGGTGCACAGCAGCGTTATAATGCTGTGACAGAATGGCGCGCTCTGGGTATGCAAATTCTCAAAATCACCCGTGCAGGTGTTACCGAAATATGGAGACTATTAATAGAATACCAGGACCAGCCCAAAGAGCACTACCCAATGAAAACAGCGCATTTTACTTAATGCAGAAGTGCCAGCGACAAATTAATTTATTGATACTGACTAATATGACTATTCAAGTATTTCATATGAGATACATGTTTTAAAAACAATACGTTTTACACCAAGGTATACATTGTAACTGAAATATATCCCATATTAAAAGTAAGTCTTTAGTATTATTCATTCAAGTGTCATTCAGTACAGAGCTAAAATGGAGCATGCCTGCATTTCACGTCAGGTTACCTGATTTCGTTACGGAAATTTGTCATCAACTTTTCAGTTCTGTCAGGGCTGTTTTCAATTATCCAGTACCGTTATTCAACGATGTGTTCGTTTGCACATTTTAGACAATCAGTCTTAAAGATAGTATTACCCACCTACAGCTGCACAAATAATTGATTAAGTATCAGGCAGTCTTTTCAAAGCATTCAATGACAATATGGGAGTTTATTTCAATATTGTCATTTGTCAATTATGGAACTTGCATGGCTGAAAGAGAGCTAAGCTATTTTTAATACAATGCCATACACACTGAAAGGCTAGAACCCTTTTTTTCATAATTTGTTTTTTGCCACATTGCAATCTTTGAGGCCAGAAAAAAATTGGCGGTATCGAAATCTGCATCAAGATGTGCATGGTATTTTACATTTGCAAAGCTTTATACGCAAAAATTGTTTGTTGTCATGTCATTTTATTTGTCAGAACTTGACCATTGCTGCCCTGAAAAAAAGCACATTGTGGGCAGCAATAAATCAACTACCCAGGTCAAAAGATCATTCACTACAACCTGCCAGTGTACTACTATGTTTACACAACGTGTTTTCTCTCATCTCTTGCGTCCACTTGATCTCATTCTTCAGTCTACTGGGTACAGCCTTCATTTTTTTAATCATCTTGACAGCACTCTGTAAATGGCCAGAATAAACCCAACCCTACTCTGGCGGTATTATATATTTTTGAGCAATCCTCTCCTGGTGACTACACGATCGGGCTAACCTTTATTAATATTCTGCTGGGAAATCACCGGGTATTTGTATTCTGTTCTTCTTTCTGCGATTCTTTGACACAGAACGAGGTTAGTCGGTCAGTTGGGCCATCCACGTGCATGCCATGCCTGATCCTTATTTTATGCTCAACCACTTCCATTATATCTCCGTGACAACTACGTTCGTCTCTCGATTTGCATCGCGGTGTAATTCAAGTTTAAGTTCAAGCATCAAAATTTCTCAGTGAAACATTATCTTTTCCTCACACCTACTGTCAGCTAATCTTCATCTGTACTGAATATATGCTCCACTTCACTGCTTCAACAATACTTCTTACGGGTACACTTAGGGCATAAGACAGGCAAGTAATAAAATAGCCTAGAATTCCGTTTTGACTTAATTTTTTTCAAGTGAAAGCAACGGTTAATTAATGTTCCTGTGGGGAAAGGGTTGCAAAATGTTGCCCAAAAATTATCGTCAAGTTTTGAAATCACCTCTAGAAATAACAGGAAACGGCATCCTTCATCGATGCTTCTCTGAGGAAAGGGTGCATAACTCACGGCTGTAAACTTGATTGGACTAACATGTGGTTTTAATTAACAATCACGGAAAGATACCAAATTTTATAACCAATTGGGAAAAGTACCATGTGGAAACCGATTGCGATATCTTCCCAGTACACGGGTTTAGAAGGCGCACACGGCAATGTGTGCCGCTGGCGACATAATTTTTATACAGCAGAAGAAAATCTGACGGCGTGCAAATCGTCGAGTTTTACGTTTGCGACATTCAAATTAAGCCTTTTTCCTTTGTGACTGATATACCAAATTACTGAAAAACAAAATTTAAACCAAACGGCAAAAAAAAAAAAAAAAAAAAAAAAAAAAAAAAAAACACAAAATGCACCTTAAATAATTAACATCCATGTTTAGTGACTAAATAATGCAATAAATGTCCGTAAAGAACCATGCGTACACATACGGCAGGTGCTGCAAGCAATTCATTTCCTTTGGAACTAAACTAGTACTGGCAACATACACGCACCAAGTGCACTGAATCTGTCATTTAATTTGTGCAATTTATGTTATATTTCCTAAATGAAATTTTGTTATCAATGATGTAAGTTTTTCCCTAATTTTCCTTCCAAGAGGCTGTCAAAGGTCCTGGGTACTAGATTTATTGACAAAATGACACAATGATGCCAGGAACTAATGATTCTTATGTAAACAGCTAATGTTTACATAAGAATCCATCTTAATTAATAACCAAAGAAAGCACATACAGCGATCTTACCTGCAAAATATGCCAATCACGAAGGCGTTCCCCAGAATGCTAATCACTGCAAAAACAAGGAGGATTATTCCGCTGACAAGAATGATGGTTGTGGAAGGGGGAGGATACAGGGCCCAGTGGGGATGTCCATAGGACACGTTCTCCATCACCTACCAAATCTCCACCCGGCGCCAGCTCACTATTGTACTAACAGGTGCTTTCCTCCTACGAATGATCTCCGTAAATTTCAGCGTGCTATTCAGTGACTGCTGAGAGTGAAATATGTAATATTTTCCTAGTATCTTATACAATGTCACGCACCATATCCAACAGTCCACTCGTATTTTGGGCAGCGTCTGTTCGTGTGAATAGCATCCATGTAAGTATCATAGCGAATGCTCGAAAGATCCAATAATCACGATTATCTGGCGATTTCATCACTCTTATATGCCTATACTTTTTGTAGGCAGTACCCGTTGGCCGTTCCCTTCTTTTTTATACGCGATGATAATAAATGGGCAGTTATTTGTAAACCACTGCCGTTTCCCAACAGTATCTGCGCTTCAATTGGTACTTTAACGTCATATCAAAACTTTTTTCTAAAGTTGCTTCCCAAGATTAATAAAACATTGTCTTTGCAGCATTTTAAAAACAACCAAAAAAAAAACCCAAAATACAACGCTCTTTCTGGAGAAACAAATCAATGTATGCAACAACGCGAGGCAAGAAGGCCAGAAATGAAACCCCTCACACAGAGTTGCCAAATCAATATTGTTTTGTCACATCATGCAAACAGTGTTTAAATATTATTACTCCATTGTATCGACTGCTATCGGTAGAAACTTCCCTTTTGTCTTTAGCCGTAGTATTACCTGAATGATAATGATAATGTTTTTATATTATAACAGACGTGCTGAAGAGTAAGCTCGTTACTATGGGCCTCTCATCGTGATTTTACTGTAGTTCGACCACACTCTTTGCAGTGTACTGGCATGGCGCGTGTGGCTGTTACCACCAAGTGCCTCCAGCTGTATTTTTTGTATTTAGTATTCTCTACTGTTTTTCTTTCAATATTTTAGCACGGTCAATATCCTTTGCAAGTGACAAAATGATATTACCTCAAGTTGCCTGTTCAGTTGTTTGCTGAACTTGTTTGATGTCTACTTTGTTTTAGACAGCATTTCCTGTTGTTAAAACGAGCAGGAATCCATTTGAATCAATTAGTATTTGTAATTGAAACAATCCTTTTTTCAGTACCATAAAAACCATGGTTATGATCACATCGGTTTTTTTTTTATGTGACAACATTGCATACGCATACCAGTAGCAACTCACAGGCGGTTCCTCTGCTACACTGATATTTTTACTGCGTTGATAAAAAAACTGCCTAATTGACATCTGGCAAGCGATCCCATATAGTTTCCTCAGTGTCCCGTTGTCATAGCAATCTGACCACCAGGTGGCATTACGCCCGCTTCTTTCCCAGCCCCCGCATTTCACTTCCTAAGTGCTTGGTGTATATACGTGGTAACATGTTCCTCACACATGCAATCCTGTACTCTACCTGAGAGCAGTTGTAGTATGTCCGCTCATTTATATTGGCGATGGAAATGCAAGCCTCCCAAGCGGTTCACTGTTGAATTCCCTCACCAGGTAGTATTCTGTTACCGATGCGCACTGAAAAAAATGAAAACGCGACCATTAATGAATTTGGTACGTTCGTATTTTGATATCAGTTGAAATTAGCTGTGATCATAGTTAAATGCTTGTGCAAGAACGTTGCGCAGTTGTTGGCGCACCTCTGACAAAGTTTGTAAAGGATTCTCTGCGCACATCATCAATCATTATTTTGAAACATAGGCCCTTAGTACAATTTTTTTCAACATTGAAATGTCAACATCGGTATTGTTATATGTATATCGTATTTACCTTTTTCGTCTCTTCTAAACACCATGTATAACAACTAACAGATAGGTTTATTTTCATAAATAAAGACATCTAAAGAAATACTGATGCGTGCAAGCACAAGAGCCCACTTACACCAATTCTAAATCGTAATTTAGCGTCGCTTGATCAGGTTTACGTACTCACGATATATGTAAATCTAGATTAAAGACCTACAGCAGCCTCGCTCAACAAGTTTACGACGTTATTAATGGAACAGTCTTCGAGGGTACTTAAGAATCATGGAGACTATAAATGACTATTTTAAAAGAGGATTTAAAACACACGCACGCATGCTCGCACACGTGCACGCCAATAAACAAACACAGGTGACTTTGAACAAAAAACAAACAGTGGTTTTCATACTTGTGATGAACTTAATTGCATTTTCAATCATAAGTCACACTATTTAAGTCCTGATATCTATTAAATATTATACAAAGTGCATTACTTTTGATAATAATGAAAATCCACAAAAAGCCTATATAAAGATTGCTTGCTAAGTCATGTCAGAAAAACACATGTGCGCCCTTATCGTTTAAATAATTAACTGGGTTACTTACCAGTACCGCGTGTCAATTAAGAAAAATCAATAAAGCACAGAGCACTGTCAACACGACCACGAGGAGACCTGGAGAGGCTAATCTTCCAATGCAGTAGACGTTTGTAAACCCCAGTCACTAAAATTTAGCCTCTCTCTGGATTTAGGCACTCAATCCATAAATAAAGTGCTATTTAAAACATTTCTGTGAAAATCACGACAGAAATAAAGTTTATTTCTGAGGAACTGCTGTGAAATAAATACCTCGTATATTCCCCATCCTAGCAGGCATTGCGACCTAAGACTTGCACCAGCCCTGGCATACAAAGTACCCTTCACAACGCACGCTTTGACTCCAAGTTGGATAAACGTTTATATGTTTTCACCTTATCGGACGTTTTTTGCCAAGAGAAAAGAACATTCTTGATAAAAAATGCGCGCGATAAACTATTTTTGACGATTTTGTATTTAAAGTTTGAAATATATATATTTTCAATTTTTCTTATATCCATTCGTTGTTCATATCCGCCTGCCCTTTCAATTCCTTGGACTGATCTTCAGAGATGTCTAACAAAGGACTCAATTACGTTCCATCTGGAAATCCGAATCAAAATATTGATAACCGTTTTGAGGACCGTGATTCTCTTGTGGCACTTGTGTCTATGCTCACATTGAGTATTAATGCTACATCCTAAAAACAGGAATGGGCTCAGCTTTCATGGTTTCTTCACAAACAAATAAATCACACGTGCTTTCGAGCGTGCACGTGACTTTTGTTTTCATGAACTACTAGGACTTTCTAGGCCTGTAATTTATGATATTGAGAGAGATTATATTTTACTTCTATTTTCTTTGCTGTTTTTGTATACCATAGGTCTTTCGTCACAGCTCAATGTAATTTTAAATGCCAGATTGACAATGATCTCAGTATCCTTTACTAGGATTCTCTTTCTATCACTATGAAGGTTTGGATGGTGTCTCTTGTGGAACAGTCAACATAATAGTAAAAGAACTTTCTTAGTAGGACCATCTCCGTGCATGGGGTGTCTAGACGAATTGTGACACCTTTTCTGGCCCCGCAACAATAATTAGCACTGGTGGTACTAAATCCCTCTTACGGACAGAAGAGAATCGTATAGGCGCCAACCAAGCTTTGAAGATAAAGCCTAAATCTTACTTCCCTGTGACGATAATTGAAAATAGATATGATCAATGGAAACTGGTTTATTAGGTCTCAGACGCCGTCCAGCATTATGGTAAATTGACGCCTCAAGAAAGAGACATTACAGAGATTTTCTGTATATAGCCCCATTCAGAATAGGGGACTAACTAGTCCGAGGATCAGATATGGACGACCCTCTTGAATACTTCCCCACGGGATACCTGTCCATATTGGATACAGATCAATGGTTCATTGGAGATTAACAGAGCTTGTTTTTTCTTTTTGAGTGAAGTTCCGATAAAAGCACGTGTAGCATCAGCGATGAATAGAATAGTACCGTACTAAATAAACAAGAATAACTTGTCAAGCCAGTGAATCCTATAATGCTATTATGCTATGTAGTCCGATAAATTCCCAAATAATGCCGGCTATTGGAAAACAACAAGGGCCGGTTCAGGCCTACCCAACTACCAGACTCGGCACCTAAGGATCCTGAATTAACCGGTAAATCGGACCACACTACCCGTTTTCAAGGTGTGTGTCAGATCGCATTTCGGAGTAACAGCCAGAACACCGACAGGATGAGCCCTGGCATGCTCGGCTGTCACCTTGATTGAATAGTAAACGATTGTCGTAAAATCGCTAAATGATTTTAAACCGGGTGCATAAATTTGAAAGCCACCATAGAGACACTAAAATAGAGTACTCTAAAGTAAGAGTACAGTTTAAGGTTGTTCAGCCGAGCGTGGATGAGCCCGCAGTCGTGCTACAAAATTTCTTCTGGGGTATGATACTCCGAAATGCGATCTGACACACACCTTGAAAACGGGTAGCGTGGTCTGATTTACCGGTTAATTCAGGATCCTTAGGTGCCGAGTCTGGTAGTTGGGTAGGCCTGCGGTTGCCAGTCAAATGTTGGAATGGTAAACTAACTAGGTCATTTCAGTGTTTTTTTTTTTTCTTCTTCTTTGGTACTTGGACGACGTGTAGTGAATGATACAAATGCATTGTTCCTTTTACAGTTTTTGGAAACTAAAATAGAAAACAGCACTTTTATGGGCATATTTACCAGCTGCGAACAGTAGTGTCTGAAACTGGCGAGTTCCTTCCTTAAACCATTTTATGGTATCTCGGCTGTATGAGCCGAAATGTAATTTTGGTAGATCTGTGATATTACAGAGCTGAGCGACGTTTCAACTGGCAATAAGATAAGCTATGACATTTCCTACCCATTCAATAGGTCAAAGGTCAACATATGCAAAGCATTGATAAAAGAAATTTTCCATATGAAATTGATAATCCGGACCGTAAAAAGTTTGCATTCCACCATTTTTGAAAATAGTCCAGCTACTATTTTCTTCAACCTTGCCATCTTTCAGTTCAGTTTTTTCAGTTGTTCGTAAGATTGCCTAATTGTTCACTTTTTATATGTAAAGAAATACGGGAAATTTGGCAAGATTGTTGGCAGCAGCGATTGGATATATATTGTTGCCATTTGGTTTGAACTAGCCATCCACAAGGTGCCCGAAACACAAAGTGTATCCTTGCAGAAAGGAGGGCCAGAAAGGAGCCAGAAGCATTACCTTGGTAACTGAATAGTAGCCGTGGAGGCACTGTGTTCACCATCAAATCAACGGTCAGATTAATCATATAATGCTATATGTTGAAAAGAAATCAATAATTTATAATCCATTAGCTGTAGTAACTAGTAACATTAATTCATTTTTTTTGTTTTTCACTTAATTTCATTGTCGTTTTTCATTCTTAGGAATTCATCAGACTTTGTAATTTAAACCTTGTTATCTCGCATTTTAGCGATAAAAGCGTAAAAAAGACTTGATTTTCTTGTCAGGAAGATACATGTACATGTACTTCCCGAATTGTGAATAAAGGAGTGGGGAAAAAGCCTTTTAAACCGACATAAATCGTTAAATGCATGTGATTAAGCACCTAAGGGGAACTTCAAATGTTCACCGGACACATCAGGATCAGGATGGAGGATGGAGGCACGTCAAGTCAGTATTAAATAAAACAAAAAAACGTGATATTTTACAATTTGCAAATGTACAATTTTCACAGGAAACGCTTATAGATAATCTGTCTAATAATTAGTTTACAATGTGTTGAAATGACGAAAAAAAGAAATGTTAAAAGCAGAAAGTTATTGGTAGCATTCTTGTCTGCCATGAGTAAGCAAGCTGTAAAGCTGACTGATGCTGGAGTTCCCATTGATTTATGACGGGTGGAAATGATGATAAAAAAAGCACCCAGTTTATTTTAGGTCACCTTTGTAACTGTACCTGAAAAACTATTGCTGCACATAAAGAAAGGTTTCTTTCCTGATATCTAAAAGTCAACTAGTTACGAACAATTCTTGATAAATATGTATTACATGATCCATTTTGTGGATTCCAAGGCTACTTTTGATTTCAATGATGGAGTGATACATCTATCTAAATAAAAAGGTAATAAGAAATTTAACTTACCGAGGGCGCTTTTCGGGCATTTTCTCCGCAAAGCTGTTACTCCTGCAAGCTTCATCACGTGACCAGTTAAGAAAAAATGTTCAAAGGCTCGACGTATCTTATTAAGACGTTCAGAGCCAGGAAGAGCCCGAACATGCCTTAATCTTGTTCTATCCACCATAGTTCACGTTTCACCTCTTGGGGTTCTGTCTCAGTAAAAAGAGTAATTTTCCTGCCTTGTGATTTTTTTCGCGATAGCCAAATTACAAAAATCCCTTTTTAGAACCAATCGCGTTTTCGTCGGGTTACTTTCGCCAGGTGAACGGTTACAAGCATATCTTTAAAACATAAATAGATAAGTGTAACATAATTCACCGGTTCATAAAATTTGAAAAGGATATATTTTAAAAAAACCAGATCTCCATTGAAGGTGTCTTTAATAATATGCGAATCAGCTGACTTAGTGGGCTCTTGCTTTGGTGACTCGATCGTGCAAACCACTTCCAGCCATCTGTTTGGTTACATAACAATTATGTTTGTTTAACCACTTGACTATGAATGGCTTGTCTGTTTTCTCCAAGTGCTTTTATCTGGGGCCTCGTGTCTTTTCCAGTGGCAACATATTCATGGCGTTGTATTTACCGGTCGTACACGGGTATCACTGAAGGGAAAGTCACACGAGAGTTGGGGCAGGAGTACAAAATGTCTTATTGCTTTGTTTAAGCGATGCGAAAACTGTCAGCTTGTGAAAGCGTAGGCTGAAATATGTCTTGTATGCATTAAAAAAAACTATCACACGTTACGTAGCATATCAGCATAAAAATGCTTTGAGGATTCATTTCAATTCACCGAATAGATCTTAAGGAAAATATAAGTATTATTACTGATGCATTTCTGAAGATCTACTTTACAAGTGTCAAATATAATCCAAGCTTTCGGCCCCTGGGCCTTCTTTGGTGATTATTATGCTTTTTATGTACAGACACAGATGTGTCTGTACATATTGCCATCACCTGCGTCTGTCGTCGCCGTCGTCGCGGTCGCGGTCGCCGTCCATGCCGCCGTCGATGTCGCCGTCGCCGTCGCCGTGCACTTTCAGCGTTAACACCATAAGTGGAAGACAGTTTTACTTTTTGGCTTTATATTTACAGAGCTGACGAATATTCATAAAACGCAGCTCAAGTTCGAAAATCAGCATGATCGGGCCATTATTGTAGAATTTATGCTGTTTTTTCACTTTTCAGCATATATGCAACACTGTTAACACATTTCAAGGAAAACCGATAGGCTGGTTGTCATGAAACTCACAGGAGTAATCAATCTTACTAAAACGCAGGTCAAGTTCGAAAATCAGCATAATCAGGACATTATTTTATAAGTTATGCTGTTTTTTCACATTTCCTCAGATTCAATTCTTAGGCATGTTCACAGTCTCATTATTTAACTAATAAGATACGAAAAAGTGTTTGTTTGACATTTCCT